TTTTTCTGGTTCTTGAGCATGTTTATTGATTAATAAGGTTTTTGTTAATTAAGTTTATATGCTTTTTTAATTCATCTTTCGTTTATATGTAGATAGCCTTCACGTCTTTTGTTTATCCATCGCTAGTCCTCGCTTATATGGGCCAAGCTGCTTACCTTTCTCAGCATCACGATTTTCAGAAAAGCTATCGAGTCGGGTTTTATATCTCTGTACCCGGTAAATTCCATATTCCGACTGAATCTCTTTTTTCAACTAAAAAATAAATAAAATAAAAAAAATCGGCTATATATATTCATGAAAAATATATTCTTTTGTTTTAGAGAAATTGAGATGGCCCGTTTTGGTAATCGCGGTTCTTGCTGCGGTTATCGGTAGCCAAGCCATTATCACGGGAACTTTTTCCATCATAAAGCAATGCTCGGCTCTGGGTTGTTTCCCTAGGGTCAAAATCGTCCACACGTCCTCAAAAATCCACGGGCAGATTTACATACCCGAAATCAACTGGATTTTGATGGTCCTATGCTTAGCTGTCACGTTCGGTTTTCGAGACACGAGGCGCATGGGCAATGCCTCGGGTCTCGCGGTTATTACGGTCATGCTCGTCACGACGTGCTTGATGTCGCTCGTGATGGTGCTTTGCTGGCGCCGGACAGTGCTCGCAGCGCTCGCGTTCGTCGCATTTTTCGGGGCGATCGAGGCGTTGTATTTCGCGGCCTCGTTTGTCAAGTTTCTCGAGGGGGCGTGGGTCCCAATCGCACTCTCGTTCGTGTTCGTGACGGTGATGCTCGTGTGGCACTATGGGACGGTCAAAGCGTACGAGTTTGACCTTCAGAACAAAGTCTCGGTCGATTGGCTACTCGGCTTGGGACCCGATTTGGGCATCGTGCGGGTCCCGGGCATCGGGCTTATCCACACCGAGCTCGTCTCGGGAGTACCGGCGATTTTTAGCCATTTCGTCACCAATCTCCCGGCCTTCCACCAGGTTTTTTTCTATTTTTTCGGAGCGAAATTATATTTTCCTCGCAAATTCAAGTTCTGTATTAGGGTATGTTTGGTAAATCTAACTGAAAAGTTGAAAGTTAGTTGATAGCTGATAAGTTACTGATAGATCTCATAAGTTAATTCCGAACTTGATAATTCATGGCTGATGATAACTTATGGCAGATGACTGAAAAACTAGTTAGTATAAGAAACTT